GAAGTATTTCATTATAGCTTTAATGTACTCAATAACAATTTCCAGAACAAAGATACATCTCTTTCAAAAGTGGCTATAAAATTTCTAGGTTCACAGTTGAATTAATGCAGTATTGAACTCAGTATAAACACTGCAAGACATAAAATTGAATGAGTTTTAAAATATATTGTTTCTTACAGAAAGACTTACTGTTTTTTTGCTAATAAAACTTAGATATTGGTGCATGCGTCTCTAATCTGTATGTATCTGATTATTACTAGTCACAGTCAGTTGCACTTGGATCCTTGGCACTGGTGTATGGATATAAAGTCATTGGGTAGATTTCAATGGTAATGTTTAGCACCTCTACTAATTAAAACATGATGTAAATTTTTATGCTTCTCCCTCACTGGCAATATTCAGGCCCACGCTGGTGACTGCATCAGTGCATCTTCCCACTTTCCCTTCTGATGGGGATGTTTAGAAGCCTGGTGCAAGCCCACTGGTTCCTTCTGTCTGCAGTCACTGACCAGAACTGCAGTTCCCCTGGCCTGGGCCCCTGCTTGTCTGCCTTTACCTGACCGCTGATTTCTGAGAAGATGCATTTTCTAGTCTCATCCTAGGTTAATTGTAATATTTATTCATCTCCTGCAAACTAGGAGACACTTTTTGCACCATGTTCATAATACTCATTGAATTGTTGCCTCGTGTAGCTCAAGTGACTCATCAGGGGAAATACAGAACTCCTCAAGTGTCAGGTTCAAACTAGAAGCCCAAGAGATCGATCTTAGCATGTGTACAAACACACCGTGTCTTTGAAATGACACCCTCATGTTGCCTCGTGTAGCTCAAGTGACTCATCAGGGGAAATACAGAACTCCTCAAGAGTCAGGTTCAAACTAGAAGCCCAAGAGATTGATCTTACCATGTGTACAAACACACCGTGTCTTTGAAATGACACCCTCATATGTGTGACCTAAATTAGTTGATTGAATTCCTTATAGATGACAACTCATGCCTTCTGGGTTATGCACTGGATGAGGAAAGATGACAAATGTCAAAAGAGCCATGTTTTCAGATCAGCTTCATTATTATCACTATGCCCTTCAGAACAACTAAAGAACAAAATCTACAGGACCCAGCACATGTTCCTGAAACTTCTCTCCTCTGCTCTTGTTCTTACTCCCCTGCTTGATTTTGGAAAATACTTTGTACCCCAGTAGCTTCATAACCCTGTGAAGACCTCACATGCAAACACGTGGGCATTCCCTCACTGCCTATCCCACATAAAGCATTCAACGAAATGTGACTTTTGCGTTTGTTTTTAAGACATGCTCTTATGTAGCTCAAGCTGGCCTCAAACTCCCGGAGATCTCCCTGCCTCACCTCTTGACTGCTGGGGTTAGACATGTGCCTCACTTCACCGCATTTACCAAGGCTCTCTTTCTATTGTCATAGTGTTCCTTCTTAGTGACTAGCATACATGAGCGTACACAATTAGGGGAATCAGTGTGACAGCTTGCTTCATGAATAAATTAGATAATTAAATTAAGATAATTAGCATGTCTATCAACTTAAAGTGTTATCATTTCATTAGGGTGAAAATGTTCAAAATGCATGGGGCAGTGTTTTAACTGCGTTCATCCTGCAGGCCAGAGAACACCTGAATTTGCTGCTGTCATCTCCCTGTCAAACTGAGCCCATTGTTTAATCACGACCTCACCCAGTTCCCTCTACTCCTCCTGGCCTCTGGTAAGTGCTTGTGTGCTCCCATTTTCCCTGAGTATAACCTTGTCTATACATGGGTGGCATCATGTGCTGACTTCCTTCTGAATTGTATTTCATCTTGCTGTCTAGTACACATTTCCCTCCTCTATTGGTAGACATTTAGGATGATGTAATTTCAACATGGTAAACAGTGCTATGGTGACCACAGAGGACAGACGTCTCAACTGAAGGCTGATTTCATTTCACTTTAGTTAGATACTCAGTAGTGAGATTATTTGATTCAACGGCAGTTATATTTTTAATTTTCTTGGGAATCTTCAAACTTTTTTCCATAGTTGTAGCATTAATTCACATTACCTTGACACACTGTGTAAGAGTCCATTTATTGTGAAGTCTTGCAAATATTTGCTACTTGTGTGTGTTTTCACTGGTGTGTGTGTGTGTGTGTGTGTATGTGTAATGAAGAGAGAGAGAGAGAGAGATTTTTGTATGTTTCTGTGAGTTTGTGTGTGCTTGGTTTTACAATAATTGTCATTCTGTCTAGGGTGAAGATATGTGTCACTGTGTATTGCTAAATACTTTCTTGGTAGTTAGTGATATCGAAGAGTTCATGCCTGTGTTGGCCATCTCTAAATCTTTCCAGGACTCTCTTCTCAGTTCCTTAGTAAACTGAGCCATTTCTCAATTGGGCTACCTCAGTTCCTTATAAATTTGGGTTATTAAGTACTTGTCAGGTGTATACCTCACAATTTTTTTTCTCTCTCTGAAAGATGTATTTTAGCTTTATCCATTCCATCAGTTTAGACTGAGGTTGTAGCTCAGTGACAGAGAGGTTGCCTGGTGTGTACAAGGTCCGCGGTTCAGTCTTCAAACACATACACACACACACACACACATGTGTGTGTGTGTGCACACCTGTTTATAAACTTGTGAAGTTATTTTCAGTCTCTGTATTCTGTTCCATAGTCTCTGCCTCTGTTTCTTATGTCAGTGGTGTGCTGCTTGAATTTGATACTGGATGGTGTGATGATAATTCCTATTTGCTACTTCTGCTTGTCTCCTTGTTTTCTTCTTTAGAGTGGAATTCTCATTGTGCATAAACATGTCATGGGTACATATAGATTTCATGGCCTATAGCATTACCACATTCATTTAGTAATATCCAATTAGCATCCAAAAGCATACATTTTAGAAATAATGAAATGAGTTAATACCAAATGAAAATATAAGCCATTGTGTTACTGAGAATGTCTGAAGGTGCCAAGTTTGCAGGTAGATGCATGTGTCCAGACATATCCAAAGCCCCTTGGGATTATTGTTGTGAAGAATGAACCCTTCATATCCTAAGCACAAAGGCCAGGTACATGACAGTAAAATGGCAATGCAATGTGAATGGGTAAGCTGCATAAGTCGTGTAGACTGTAACACCACAGACTCAAAGCTGGGGATTACAGAGATTGCTCAGCGCTCCAGAGCATGTATTGTTCTCCAGAGGCCCACGGCGGTTCCAAGAACACTTATGGAAGGCACTCACAACACTCTGTAAGTCCATCTTGAGGGGATCTGTTGCCTTCTTCTGTTCTCAGCAAGTGCATGTATGACACGGTGCACTTAAGTACCTGCAGGCAAAACATCTCCCAGAATTCAAAGGTAAGACCCTACTGCCGAAGACTGACCATAATTCAGATGCAGGACTTGGACCAATGGAGCAGGAACTGACCTGGGAACCTTTTCCCTGAAGACTAGCTTTTATAGTCTTAGAGGATACTATGTAAGCTACTAAGGGAAAAAAAAATCAAACAATGGTCCAACCCAGTCCTAAAGCTGAATGACCATAAGGACTGGTGTAGCAAACTATCTCTATTGGTACTGATATCCTGGAGGAGGAAGGGTTGTAATCAGCAGATATCTAACTGGGCTAAAAGTCCTATCAATGGGTGTGAACTCATGGGTGGCACTGTAATTATAGCCAAATATACATGGCTGGAGAGTTCATGGATCCTAGAGAAAATCATATCTCTGTCACATCTCTATATAAATGAAATTTATTACCATACCCTAAATATGGATCCTTATATTTACAGACAAGCATACAGTATAAGACATCAAAGAACTTTCTTTTTGTAACAGCTGGAGGTTACCGCAGAGTTCCACAACTGGCCATGCACAGAGAATATATGTCTTAGAGATGCCCGCCCCTAGGTAACATATCTAAAGTGGAACCTCTGCTCCTAAGGCTCACAGAACATAGCAGAACCAGAAGTGGAGAGAACACTAGTGCATGCCTCGACTCTCACCAGCGAAGCTTCCTTGTACAGCAGAGTATGATGACCACAGAAGGCCACAACTGGCTAAGTTTTAGAGAATAAGGGACTTCAGAGTGTGTGTTCCTGGATAGAACTCCCATATTAAACCTCACCCACCCATGGCTCAGCGACCATTGCAGAGGGTGGAGGGAGATTGTAAGAACAATGTTTGGTCCATGAACATAGAGAAACAGAGGCTTTCAGGCCACTGGAAGCCTTCTCATGTGACCTTGTGGCAATGATGGCATCAAACACAAGACCCATGCCAACTCAACCAGACAAAGGCCAGAGGGATGCGAGGGAAATGGGTGGTGGACCATCTCCAGCCTGAGAGCTGTTGGAGACTGATTACTGCTGGGTGAGGGAAAGTAGACCTTCCTTAAGACCTCTAGATGGGCTGAATAGACTCCAGTGGATGAACTTGCACTCAATGATACATGGGTAAAATATTGGACCGAATGTATACCAGAATACATGAAGCCCAGGTGGGGGTTGTGGGAGTATGGATGGGGGCAGAGGCCTTTATTTGATTAAGAACTTTTGTATGAAATGTACAAAAGCTCAATAAAATATATTTAAAAAAATTAAATATATCCTCTAAGTCCATTAAAAATAAAAAAATAAAAAATGAATCTTTAAAAAATTAAAGTTGGAAGATGGAGTTAAACTACAGTATTGACAAATTTATTTTATGTGTATGAGTGTTTTGCCTGCATGTTTGTAAATGTACAGGTGTTGTGTAATGCCCATTGAGGCTAGAAGAGGGCTCTGTATCCCTAGAACTAGAGTTAAGGACAGTTGTTAGCCATCATGTGGGTGCTGGGAACTGAACTTGTGTCCTCTGCAAGAGCAGTCAGTGCTCTTAACTGCTAAGCTATCTCTTCAGCCCCTAGAGGCCTTTAAATTTTTTTCCAGGCACTTTGGAGCTATAGGTTACAGAGTAGACATAGCAATTCCAAGGACTACACATACCAATCAGTTCTGAAGATGGCACAGAAGTGGCATCAAGAAACCCCGATCACAAGATGTGAATCTCCTAAAGGGATATATCCCAAGCTTCTGAGGAGCATGCATTTTACCAGGAAGCTCAAGAAGAAGATGCCGGAAAACAGTTCTGAGACCATGAGTGCAGGAGCTGAAGCTGTCAAGGCCTCTGTAAAGCCCAAAGAGGTGAAGGCCAAGATCCCAAAGGGTCTCAACCACAAGCTCCATCAACTTGCCTTCATTGCTCATCCCAAGCTTGGGAAGTGTGCTTGTGTCCACATTGCCAAGGGTCACAGGCTTTGCCCACCAAAGGCCAAGGTCAAACCAAGACCCAGGCTCTACCTCTGGCTCCCACTTTAACTCAGGCTCCCAAAGGTGTCCAGGTTCCCCATGAAGGCCCCATAGTAGAGGCTTCTGTGTACTAATGTGAGACTAGAAAGATTGGTGAACCACCCTGGCTAACACCTTCAGATGACTGTTGTCTTATCTGTTTTTACAAATAAAACCAAGGAAAGAAAAAAGGGAAGGAATACAGAGAAGTTGAGGAACACGAATTAAGTCTGGGGACCCAGAGAGATGTCTTCTCTGTTAAAGCTGAGTCAGTTTCTTTATTGGGAGGTTTTAAATTATTGTTTCTAACTCCTTATTTTTTGCCCCTTCAAATGCTAAGCTGTGATTCAGTCTTGGTGGGTTGTGTGTTTCTTGCAATTTACCCACTTCTCCCAAGTTGTCCAATATGTTGGGAAATTATTCATGATGACTGCATGATCATTTTTTCTTGTGTTATCAATGATTATTTTCCCTTTTGCTTTTAGGATTTTATTTATTTGAATTTTCTTTTTTTTGTAGTCATATTAAAGTTTTGCCAATTTATTGATCTAGTTTTAAAGAACCACCCTTGAGTCTCATTAGTTTCTTCTACTGTCTTCATAATCTTCATTCATTTCTGTTCTAATAATTATTAGTTAATTTCTTCTGCTGTTTGTGAATAGCTGTTCTTTCTTTTAATATAAACCAATGATGAGTAAAACAAGACTGTGTGTTTGAGATATTTTATTTTTTTAATGTAAGCATTTATTACTGTAAGTGTTTCTCTTAAATATTCTTTGCTGAATCCCATAATTTTGCTGTATTGTATTTATAATTTCATTTGTGCTGATATAGCCTTTGATTATTTCCCTCTTGATTTCTCTTTGATCCATTGGTCTTTTCCTATTGTTTTATTTTTTTAGGTTTAGACATTTAAGAATTATTTAATTTTCTACTGTTATAAGATTTAATTATTTCTAAAGCAGATAAAACACATTTTGGAGCCCATGATCTATTATGGAGAATATCTCATGTCCCCTCCATGGTCTGTCATAGAGAAAAATCTCATGTCCACTCTAGAAATATCCATATATGTGGCTTTGGATGGAGTATTCCTTGAGCATCTATTAGGCTCATATGATTTTAGAATTATTCAAATCTGATGTTTCTGATTTTATGTCTGGATCAGTTGTGGAAAGTGAGGTGCTGCTGATATCTGATATTATTGCAACATTCTTTCACTATTTGGCTTTGTTAGTATTTAATTGATATATTTCAGTTCTCTGATGCTGGATGCATACGCAATTGCACTTATTATATTTTCTTGATGAACTGATCTTTTTGTCATTTTGCAGTTTCCTTCTTTGATTCTTGTGATGGATCTTGACTGAAATTCTCGTTTTTTTCCCCCAAGCATATCCACACTAATTCTCTCCTTAATATTGCTTGAATAGAATAACTTTTCCCATCTTTCCACTCTGACCTTAGGGTGAATCTCCAGTAGACACATGGAGCTGAACTTTTGTTAGATATTACATTTATTGTTGTTTTAAATGTGTTTATGTCTTTTGAAGATGTATGCTATATTTAAAGTGGTTATTCAAAGGAAAAATATACTATTATAATCCGAGAAATATTTTTTGGTTCTTTTATACAATCATTGTTCCTTCTTAGGTGATATTTTTATGCCTATATTTATTTCTTTTGTAATATTTGCTTAGATTACCTCATCTTTTTCTTTTGTTTCTGCTTAAAAATGTCTTTGTGTATGCCAAAAAGCCTAGAGTTACACCAGTACACAAAGTGATCCTCTGTTATCTGAGGCAGGTATGTTCCAAGATCTCCTGTGAATGCCTGGATCCACAGATAGCACCAAACCCTACAAAAGCTATGCTCCTACACAAAAATACCTATGATAAAGTTCAAATTATGAACTAGGTACAGTCCTAAACTCTTACCAGTAGAGCTTCCTTATACAACAGAATGTGATGCACAAAGAAGGCCACAACTGGCCAAGTTTTAAAGAATAAGAGACTGTAGAGTGTAGGATAGAACTCCTATATGGAACCTCATCCATTGTGGAAGAGGGGACAGAAAGATTGTAAGAGCCAGGGCTGCTTCATGAACACAGGGAAGCAGAGGCTTTCAGGCCACTGGAAGTTTGCACATGTGAACTTGTGGCAATCAGAGCATCGAGCACAGGACCCATGTCAAGTCAAATAAACAAGGGCCCAAATGGGAGGCAAGAAATAAGTGGCAGGCCTTCACTAAACTGAGAGAACTATTCAAGATAGATTGCTGCTGGGTGAGGGAGTGTATGACTTACAAATGATCACTAGATGGGCTGACTAGACTCCAGTGGATGTATTTACATTTGGATACAAATGCCTGAATGAATAGGACTTAACATGTATGATGGAATACATGAAATTCAGTGGGGGCATGGGGAAGGCATGGATTAGGGAAGGGATCTAAATTTGATTAAGAACTGTTATATGAAATTATAAAGGCTCAATAAAAATATTAAAAATAAATTAGGCACAGTGAGTAATTACAAACAACAATTGATGATGAAATAGAACAATTGTAATGATATGCTATGGTAAAATTGCTGTCACCACCTCTCTTTCCCATTCAGGTCTTTATTAAGAAAAGTAAAGGTTACTTGAGCAGAAGCACTGGCATATGGTGATGGCCAATCTGATAACCCAGACAGCTATTAAGTGACTAACTGGCAGGTTGAAGCTAAGGTGGGGAATGCTGGACAGCAAGATGATTCACATCCTGAGTGGGGCAGAGCAGTATGGTAAAAAAAAAGTTCATCATGCTACTGTGAATGGCATGTCATTTAAAATGTGAAAATTGCTTATTTCTAGAGGTTTCCATTTCATAGTTTTAGACCGTGCTTGATTATACTTAACTGATTCTGCAGAAGATAAAACTGTAATGGTGTGTCAGTGGGTACTGTTTCAAATTGACAACAACTTAACTTCAAAAGCTATTTTAAGCTAATAAATTCAGTTGAATACAAACTCTTCTTTAACTATTTGCTCCATACCCATTTTATGGCACTGATATCACATTCTTCATTAAAGTTATGCTCTTTGTATTTGAGAGTTTACCAGCTTTCATCAACGTATTTTTGTCCATTCCATTCCTCTTCCAATTCCTCCTAGGCTCTCTGCTACATCCCCTTCCAGTTGCACTTCTTCTTTAATTTTACTTTTTAAAAAATACAACCCTGATTCCAATACTGCCTCCTGTATGTACATGGGTGTAGTACCATCCACTGAAGCATGGACAACCTACCACGGACCACACCTCTAAAGAACTCTGACTTTATTCGCTTGTTTGCTTTCTCTTGCTGTGATAAAACACTGACTAAAACCAACTTGGGGAGGATACACCTTATGCTTCCAAATTATGGTCCAGTATTGAGGGAATCAGGACAGGAACTCTGAGAGGGAACATGGAGGTAAGAACTGAGGCAGAGACCATGAAGAAATGCTGCTTCCTGGCCTGCTTTCTCTTGCTCCTCCACTTGTCTTTCCCATACTACCTAGGCCCATCTTCCCAGAGATGGCACCACCCACAGTGGGCTGGGCCCTCACATATCAAGCAATAATCAGGAAAATGCTCCACAGACAGGCTGACTGGTCAATCTGATGGAAGAAATCCCTCAATTGAGATTCCTTCTTTCCAAGAGACTCTAGTTTGTGTCAAGTTGACAAAACAAAACAGCACATTTTTCTAACCTCAGCAGCCATCAACCACCAATAACTCCTCAGCTAGGAGTGGGGCCTTAGGAGCTGTCAGGAGCTGGGTCAAGAGACACAGCTGTGTGGTGAAGTCAGACCACAATATGAGAAGAGCAAGAACCAAAAGGACTTTGTTCAACCTTCATAGTTCCTGAGACTGACACCTGGTCAAGACACCACCAGATCAGTCCTGTGGAAAGAAGGACTACCAGCCTCAGACTCAGACATGTCACATGGTAAGCAGCCCTGGGGAGAAAGGCTTAGGACAGGAGTAGTTTGTTGAATATGACGTGTGTTGTGTGATCAGCATTAAATACAAGGCTATTGTATTCATCTCCTTGTCCATCTGATCAGTGCTTGTGACAGGAGCCCCTCCCCCACTGATGCTCAAATTCTGACTGGCTTGATCTTGCGCAGGTCTTGTGCAAGGGACCACAGCTGCTGTCGGTTTATGAGTACAGGGGTCCTGTCCTGTCCAGGAGACACTATTTTGCAGCAGTCCTTTGAAGTTCTGGCTCCTAAGTCCATACATTCTTTTGCCCTTTTCTTGAGCCTTGGGGTGTTTGTGTATGTGATAATTATGTTACATTTACGGCTGAGAGCTATATTTTTTAGATTGTATATTCATTAGCAAATTTTTGTGATAATTATGTTTGATACTTTTCAGAACTTTTCTTTTTCAAAAATAATTTTATTTTTATTGAATTTTTGTGATTTCATGCCATATAGTTTGATGGTATTTAGATTCCCCTTCCCTATCCACACCTCCTCTTTATTGCCCTCCCACCCAATTTGATGTATTCTCTTATATGCGAAATATGGCCTATAGAGTCTGCTTTGTGTTCCCAAATGTTCTTCAGGGTAGGTCTATCCACTGGGCCCACCAAAAGTCCCATCCCTATCAAACACTGTCTCTCTGCCTTTCACACCCATCAATTGCCAAAAGTTCCTTAGATTGGATGGGATTTCTTACCCACTTTCCTATGTCTGTGCTGGGATTTTGTCTGGTTTGAGCTTGCATAGGACTTATACATGCTGTTACCATTGCTGTGAGTTCATATGAGTAACTGACCAGCTGTCTGTAAGACTCTGTTTCTTTGTGGTAATCTACCCTCTCTGGCTCTTACAATCTTTCCACCTCCTCTTCTGCAATTTTCCCAAAGTCTTGGAAGGAAGAGTTTTGAAATAGGTGTCCTATCAGGGATAATCGCCCTGCAGCCTCTTGTTCTCTGTACATTGGCCAATAGTGGGATTTTGTATCACCACCTGCTGTCTAAGGAAACTTCTTTAGTG